AATATAAAAGTTAGTTTGCCCTTATTGCATGGAGAATACTAAATCATTCACCTTAAAATATGGATGCAAGAATATTTGTTTTAACTGTCATTATATTCTTATCTTCTGATTATTCATGTAAAAGAGATAGGGATGCATTCTTCAGAAACATAGTTGAGAGGCCACCTCTTATACCCAAATTATGTGGTTCTAACATACTACAAACACTTTTAGGCATTTTATGAATTATTAATTTTTCAATATTATTAGAGTGCAAAGTTAATGATATGAAGTTCAACATAATTGGATTAACATATTAGAGTACACATTTGATAGAGCATAATCTTGATATTATGCACATTGAGAAGAATATATTCAATAATATCTTTAATACGGTCATGAATGTTAAAGGTATGATTAAGGATACTGTGAAATATAGAATCTATATTAAAGAGTACTGCAAGTGAAAAAATTTAGAACTAATCATAAACAACGATGGAAGAATATTGAAGCCCAAATCATCATTCTCATTCATGTTAGAACAAAGAAGATCAATATATCATTGGTTTCAAAGTTTAAAAATGTCTGATGACTATGAATCAAACTTGAGCCAATGTGTTGACCTTAGATCTACAAGATTATTTAAAAAGTCATGATTGTCACATTTTTTGTGGAGATGCTCCTTCCAATTATATCATGTTTGTTACCAAATTACATATCAAATTTGTTGACGGAGCTTAGCCTTTTCTTAAAAGATTTATATTTATCTAAACTAAGCGAAAATGTTTTAGGAGTAAGGAAAATATACCAACCATCCTATGCAAACTAGAAAAAAAAATTTCCTCGTAGATTTTTTGATTATATGGAACATCTTCAAGTTCATGTATCTTATGAGACTATAATTGAAGGACATGTACAATATCGTTGGATTTACCTTTTTGAGAGTACATTGTGCCTTCAATATTTTTAATCCAAACTAGTTATCCTCAATACTCTAACAAATATCTGAACAAGTTAAAAGAATATTTTAAGAATAAAGCACTTCCAAAATGACTTATATGTGAAGCATACTTGGCTCAAGAAACCACCCACTTCTACTCTTAATATTTTGAGCCCTACGTGAGAAGTACAATAACAAAATTTGGTCATAACATGAACTTCGATATCGATGATCAATCATAATTTTCACTGTCAATCTTTAAAAATCAAGAAATGACCTATGGGAAATAAGTAATAAGATTTCTTAGCGATTTAGAAATTAAAACAACAACTTTGTATGTGCTGTTGAATTTCCAAGAAGTCAAATCTATCTTATAGAACACTGAAAGTATTTCTAATTCAGAGTAATTCATAGTAGCTTAAATGACCAAATTTATTTCAATTTAGTTAGTATTTTACTTACAAAATTGGTAATCAAACGCTTGTTTATCAAAAACAAGTTGGCAAATACAAATTTAAGTTATTAATTATTATTATTTTTGTAACTATAAAATTTTATTTTTTAATTATGTAAATTTCAAAGGCATGGAATTCCATCAAATATAATTTTCATATTTGTTACAACTCTAATATTTTTCATATTTATGTGTTACTGTAATTTCATAAAAAAAAATTCCTATTAAAAATGGCTTCAGGCGACGAGCCTCATCGTAGATCCATTACATCGATGTTTGGTTGTAGGAAGAAGTTTACCGCTAGACCAACTAACTCTAAACAATGAGAGCAGGGCCAAGGGTACATAGTTTCACTAATGATAAGAGTGCCACCACTTGGCAGTCACCATCATTCCCCCATTGAGCTGGGGTAGGGATAAAAAGTTCCACTGGATGTTGGAGTACCACCCCATATTGGGGCTGAGGAGCCTATAACAACATAGGATAATTGTGTGTACATAGAGCATGATGGCGATATGCAAGTTCATTTTGTTATTAAATTTTATAATTTGTTTTATTATGTAATTCATATTGATTATTATCTACATGTTTAATCCCATGAGGCAGCCCACTCACAAGATTTAAGACAAAATATGGAACAGATATGATGCTTCTTACTTATCTTAGAAGAAAATTTCAAAGAAAGTTAGAGATGTGTGATTCAAAGAATTTCAAATACATAATTTTGATATTTCTTAAAATTTATGATTACATTTATATTAATATTATTTATTATGATAATATTCTACAGAAAGATTTTAGGTAGTTGCTTGAGCATAGTGTGCTTGGCTTAGAGCCAACACCATTAAAGCTGCATACACTAACACACCAACGTCAAGTTGATCATCAGTGGGTTGATGAGAAGGTGAAAAAGAAAAATCTCATGTGAGTATCACTTTTTAAATAATAATAATAATAATATGCAAATAGAAATGGATTTTTATGGACTTAGTCTCTTGTGGGATGATTTTCCACAACTTCAAGAGGGCCAAGCTTCTATTGCTGAGGGATCATCTTCAGGATCGATGCAGTACTCTGAGATTCATGTGTGGTCACAAGTTGTTGGAGGGAGATAAAAGGGGAGGGTGTATTAATTAGGTTCTCATGCATATGCACATGAGACCAATACATCTACCTTAACATCTTTTAGTGATAATGGAGTTGATGATATTGTTAGCCAAAGGGTTGCTGCTATTATCAAAGAGATAGAGGAGAGAAATAGAAACAGGCCAACATATTGGCACAACAGACTGAGACACAAGAAGATATGCGATCATACCTAAGCCAAAATCAAAAGAAAAAGGATCAATAACCTAAGCATGAATATGAGGGGAGCGAGGAAACGAAAGATGATTAGAGAACTTAATGTTTAAGTTATTGCAGTAGTTTGGAGAACTTAATTTCATTGTGACATTATTATTATGTTTTGAATGCGACATTATAGTTATATTTTGAATGCTTATTTGAATTAATTTTTATGTTGAACGATTGAATTTTGAAGTTGTTAGGCTTATATTTTGAGTGACAATGTTTTGTGATGATGATATATATTGTTTTGTGTACATCTATTAACTAATGTGGGTATTTCTTGTAAATGTTGCAGCGGTACAATAAGGGGTTGCCATTTTGTTGTTGTATTGATATAGGTTTTCAGCAGCTTTTCCAATGGAATATTCGCAAGAAATGTTCGATATGAGTTACACAATGAAATGCAATGGAGAAGGGTGGAAATTCTGCCATAATTTTATGGGCAGAATTTCTAGCGGACAAGCTATCGAAACTTATCAACTATCAACTGTCGGTAATGCTGTCGAAAATTATCAGTGGCGATTCCTATGAATCCTCCAGTCCATACGCCGCTATCAATGAAAATAGAATCCACCAGACGACCACCAAAATTATGTTGGAAATTCTGTGGAAATAATTTCCTACGCGGGTTTTATCGGCAGAAAATTTTCCGCCAGAAAGCTATCGGAAATATGCAAATCCGCTGAAAAAATGTCGATATACGTCCAAAAATTTAGCCAGTAATGAACGATTTTTCTATAGTGTTTTGGATGATGATAACCTACTCTATATCAAAAGAATTCTCTTAGTGCCATGTTAGGCTATCCTAGAAAGATTGTATGAGAAGTACATGAGCGCGACCTTATATAAGGATGTGTTTTATTGTCAAAATAATTACGTTAGGCTATCCTAGGAAAACGGTACTAAAAGTACAAAAGCAATCATAGAAAGAGAGCTATCTAGTAGATATCATATGTGTGAACTGATAAAATATTGACTAAAGTTACCTAGATGATCGCATGTACGTGTTAAACTAGAGTTCTTTAGGATTATCTAAATAGATTAGAGAGTGGTATACATGTAATGGCCTTGGTAAGGTAAGATTGTAACAGAATATCCCAAGTCAAGCCAAGTCAAGTTATGTATAAGTGCAAAACTAGACTAAGCCAAATATTCAAATCTATGTTGATTGTATCTTTTTGCTATAGTGCATTTCACTTTTTACTAAATTTCAAAAGATTTATATAAATATCATAGGGTGGGCTTATTTATACTTCTCAAGATGGTAGCTTAATTAATTTATTTCAATATCTAGATGATTATTGTAACATAAAAAAAAAATCCTAAAATAGAATGCTTAATTCTTGTATAGAATATTTTTTTTAATTTTTAAAAATCATATTTGGTTTATACTTTTATTTTTTTAATAAATCAAGTTATTTTAAAAAATACTTAAAAAATTATTTTTAGGTATTTTTATTTTCTTAAATGAAAATCATCATGACTAATCAGCCGCCATTAGCACCATCGATCGTTCACCATCTCTGTCACACGATAATCGCTTGTCATCACAATTGGTCACAAAAACCTACCACCATCTCTCTTTACCTTTTCACATAAATCAACTTTAGCAACATTCAATTAAAATAAAAAAACACATATTGAAAATCATCAAACATATTGTATTTCAATTAAAATATAAATTAAACAAAATAAAGAATCCCTAATAAAAACACACAACACAAAGCTTGCTAACAACAAATCAGATACGCATAAATATGAAATCAATAGATATCTATAACAACAAGACAAGCAAATGAGTTTTGATTAGCAATTAGGCTTCGTTTGAGATGACTTTTTTTCTGATGCTTAAAACAACTTTTTAGTACAAAAATTTTAATCTAGTTGACTATAAAATAGTAGTAGAGTGAAGCGCAGGCCTCAATGAGTTCATATTATATAAAATTCATAGTGTGTTCTCTTTTTAAAGATCGCAAAGTAAATTATTTACCAAAAAAAAAAATGGGGGTTTATGCTGATAGTTGATTTGAAGTTCATGAATTTTGTGTTGCTGTAGGTGACATAAACTATCACATTTTTGCAGCTACGCTAGTTGGAGCTCAGAATTTCCCATCAATATATGACACGGTGATACTAACACGCAAAACTGCTTCTATGTTCCAAGTGCTGTCTCATGATTCCACGAGCTCTCACAAAACTGAGATGAATTCATCACAATGATCAAATAGTCGAAGCCATCATCAACCTTCACCTCCTACAACTACAATCATCCAAACCGCAGAGAAGTTGACATGCACATGAGGTGCTTGGTGCAATGCCTCAAAGAAATGTATCCACTTTGATTGCGCTATTCACCGGATACATGCAGAATGGGCTCCAAGATGAAATCTTGGATCTGTTCTTCCAAATGCAATGTGAAGGAATCAGGCCAAACTCGTTCACTTTTGCCACTGCTCTCGCTTCGGCTGCTGCTCAGGGTGAGCTGCAGAAAGGGAGGATGGTGCATGGCCAACTGATCAAATCTGGAAATGAATCTGCTGTCTTTGTCTGCAACTCACTGATGAACATGTACTCCAAGTGCAGGCTTATTAAGAATTCAAAATTAGTCTTTGAAGGCATGGAATACAGAAATTCTATTTCATGGAATTCAATGATGGCAGGTCTTGTTTCCAATGGTTCTTACAGCGAAGCACTTAAATTGTACTTCCAGATGAGAGCTGAAGGTATAAAGCCAACACAATCGAGCTTTGTTACTGCAATAAACATATGTTCTAATCTTAAAAACCTGGTTTTTGCAAGGCAGCTCCATGGCTGTGTGGTGAAAGAAGGGTATGGGCTTGATGGGAATAGCTTGACCGCACTCTTAGTGGCTTATATTAAGTGTGCTGAGATGGAAGAAGCCTTTAAACTCTTCACTTTGATGGTGGAAACTCGTAATGTGGTCTCCTTCACTGCTTTGATTGGTGGGTATATTCAGAATGGGAACAATTATAAAGCTGCAATTCTTTTTTCTGAAATGAGAAAAGATGGATTTGATCCCAATGACTTCACTTACTCCACTATATTAACTGCTGCTCCTATGATTTCCCCATATCTCATTCATTGCCTACTTATAAAAACAAGATATGAAAGTTTTCCTTCAGTGGGAACTGCTCTCCTGGATGCCTATACAAAGGTTGGAAACATCCACGCTGCATCAATGGTATTTGAGAATATTGAAGAGAAGGATATTGTGGCATGGTCAGCAATGTTGGGTTCTTATGCTCAAGCTGGGGATACAGAAGGTTCTATCAAGTTATTCAAGGCAATGGCTAGGGAAGGAGTTGTGCCTAATGAGTTCACCCTATCAAGCATTATCAATGTCTGTGCAGGCATAACAGCAGCAGTGGATCAAGGGAGACAATTCCATGCTGAATCAATTAAGTTCAGGCAACACGATAATATCTGTGTGAGCAGTGCTCTAATTACTATGTATGCAAAGAAAGGGAGTATTGAAAATGCTTATAAAGTCTTTCAGAAGCAATCTGCAAGAGACTTGGTGTCGTGGAATTCAATGATCTCTGGTTTTGCCCAGCATGGCTATGGAAAAAGTGCTCTTGATATCTTCGGAGATATGGAAGCACGAGGCCTGGAAATGGATGACATAACCTTCCTTGGAGTGATCATGGCTTGCACACACACAGGTCTTGTTGAAGAAGGTAAAAGGTATTTCAATTTAATGGTTAAGAATCATGGAATTTGCCCGACAATGGAGGTGTATGCCTGCATGGTTGATCTGTATGGTCGTGCCGGTAAGCTCGAGGAAGCCATGAAGCTCATCAATGGTATGCCCTTTGAAGCAGATGCGATGATATGGCGAATTCTATTAGGGGTTTGTAGAGTTCACAGGAATGTGGAGCTTGGAGAGATTGCGGCGGAGAATTTAATCAAACTAGAGCCTCAAGATTCTGCTGCGTATGTTCTATTGTCAAATATCTATGCTGCTGCAGGAGAATGGGAGAAGAAGGGCAGAATAAGGAAGCTGATGGATGATAGAAAGGTTAAAAAGGAAGCTGGACTTAGCTGGATTCAGGTGAAGAACAAGGTTCATGCATTTATAGCTTCTGATACAAGTCATTCTTTATCTGATCAGATATATCGAAAACTTGAAGAGATAAAACTGAAACTGAAGGAGAAAGGCTATGTTCCTGACACAAATTTTGTACTGCATGATCTGGAACATGAGCACAAAGAAGCCTTGCTGGCTCAGCACAGTGAGAGACTGGCTATTGCTTTTGGACTGATATCAACGCCTGATGGAAGTCCTCTCCAGATAGTGAAAAATCTTCGGATTTGTGGAGATTGTCATACAGTGATCAAACTTGTTTCAGAAATTGAAGGGAGGAATATTGTTGTGAGGGATTCAAACCGGTTTCATCACTTCAAGGGCGGGGCTTGCTCTTGTGGGGATTTCTGGTGAGTTTTGTCAAAACAGTTGTAAAAGTTTTCAAAAGAGCAATTTTAGAATTAATAGAATTGATATATGAAAAACTAGTTCGGTTGTACAACTCTTCTGCTTATTTACAATGAGATATGTTTGAGGCAGCTTTCTAACTGATTTGTTTTTCAGACCTTAATAATATTTCTGTTTAGTTATTATTTTGGTACTGCTTTTCAGAATTTTTTGTGGTGGAAAGATGCTTTTTACAATCATGTGTGAAAGCTGTAAGGAATCTGCATCTGACTTTTCATAACAATTTCAGAAAAATTACAACCATCCCAAATGAGCTTTTAATAGTGATTTTGAAAGCATTTTATGATGAAGAAAAGATATTCCTTGACAAGAAGCTGATATGAAAATATCAGTCATTCACTTGTTCATCTTTAGTGGTATTTTGATTTCTTACCAGCATTGCTGAGCTAAGATAGTGATGGAAAGAAACAGCATGTTCACATTGCCACTGAGCTGTGACAGGTCCTGTTATGCTGTATAAAAGCAAATGTACAGTTTAAAAGCAGCGCAAAAGGTGTGATGGTGGCGCAAGTGCCGTGGGAATAGCACTGTTTAAGGGCTAAGGGCTAATGTGTTTGGATGAAAAAATTTGATGAAAAATAAAATATTTATATTTAGATTAATTTTTAATTATTATTTTTAAATAAAGTAAGTAAATTTGATTCACTCTAGACTTTATTAACTTCATTAAAGAGTAAGATAAACACAAACTAATTAATGATATTTTGCATGTTAAAAGTCTAATTTTTTTGGGATATTTAGGTCAATTAAGGCAAATTCATACATACATCGCATACGTAAGACTTGAATCCAAGATCTTTTAGTTAATAGTCAAAACTCCAAACTAACAAACTAAGAAGAGTTGCGTTTGAAAAGTCTAGTCAATTGAGTGAGATTAAACATGACCGCCTTAGCTATTTGTGCCAATACATGCATAATTGGTCAAATATAAAAAAAAAGGAGCAAGATATTAGACTTGAAAATTAATATTTTAGATTAAAATCATTGGGCCTATAACCACTAGTTATAGAAGTCATCAACAATCAAACAATTAGAGAGATTGTCGTACAAACTCTCTCAAGGAGTTTTTTTTTTTGGAGAATTAAGGGATAGCTCTCCAACTGACACACACATCACATACGAATGTCTCGAATCCAAAACCTCTTAGTTGATAGTCAAAGCACCCAACCACAAATCAAGGAGAGTTGCGTCCTCTCCAGGAGTTACAGATGTAAAGCTAAGGGCACCAATGTATTCCCGACTTGGTTCGGTTGCCAACACTCCAACACTCTAGATATATATGCTCATAGGGGCTATGACATGACCGGAGGTGTTGTTGTAGAATTTTGGTTGAAGACTATTGTGGCTTAAGTCTGCTAAAGGTTGCTTTACCATAGTTCCAATTGAAGTAAGTCTGCTAAAGGTTGCTTTACCATAGTTCCAATTGAAGAAAGTAGCAATGTAGATCTTGTATCAGCATGACAATAATACTAGCATTTTATAAGCAAAAAAAAAAAAAAAAGACCAACGCAATCATGAAACAAAAGGAATATCTAAATGTTTCATGTTATTTGAAGGGCATGAGAAGTAATAAAAGCGACAATATAGAAAATTACATAAACAACAATACATTTCTTTTAATTTTGCTAAACAACAAAGCATGACAACTTAAACCCTACAGAAATCGAAATTTTATTCTGCTTCCTTTTGCGTTAAGCACAAATCATAGCAAACAACGAAAAGACTTCATACAACAACTTAAATTATATAACTTCTCTTTTTTGCCTTAAATCCTCTAAACAAATAAAATAAAATAAAATAAATATAAAAACAATTTCAAACTTTATAGAAACTTAAATTCCATTTCTTTCTTCTCTGGTGAGAGGGAAAGCTCATTATCTTTACGGTTAATGTGACGACGGCGGGGCGGCTGAGCGGTTAAAATAAGGGGCGGCGGCTTAGCTGACTCAGCTGGCTGAGACTTGAGTAAGCATCAAATCGCCCATTAAACGAAGGACTCTACTTAGTTTTAAATTTTAATTTTAAGATATTTAATTACATAATTAAATTTTTAATCATAACTACTTTAAAAATTTATCCGAATATTTCTGTATTAATAAAGTAAATTTATCTTTTATATCTATTAGATTAAAAAAAAAGGGTGCTCGGCCTCCTAAATTATAAATGCAAAAAGGTCTTGGTCCTTTTTATGAGGGGGGGAAAGTGCAGTGGATAGCTAATCAGATAAGTGGCATCACTGTAGGCGATAGGTTCATTATCCGATAACTTTTAGCTTTACGAAGCAGTTGGCTTACTCACAATATCCCTGGCTGTGATGTAAAGCTGCATTGCAACAAGCATGGTAAGAAACAGTTCACACTTTCCTAGCTATCAAAGTCCTTTAGAGTGCCACCATCCATCGCTTCACGGGCAACCAACAGGCTCTCTGGATGATTGAAATTTGAGCATATAGATTAAAATAATAAGGAGAAAATTTTTTAAGGCAAAATTATATTCATAATATTTAAATTTTATATATTTATAAAACTAATACTTAGCAACATCCATTTATAGTAATACCATAGAAAACTTAAAGAGCACAATAAAATCTCCAATTCGGAATATTATAAATAGGAACATGATGTATAATTTCGAAATATGATTAAAGTATTAAAAAAATTTAGAAGAAGTAAAATAGGCAAACAAAATGGCGCATTTCATTGAATGCGCCAAATTGTTTGGCGCGTTGCTACAGTAATTTCGGACTTTAATTTGGCTGACTGCGATGCATGCACTAAATGATTTGACGCATTCTAAAGAACTAGCTAAATCATTTTGCCCATTCTAAAGAATGCGCAAAATTGAATGTGCCAAATGATTTGGCTAGTTTCCTTATTTTTAAATTTTTATAATATTTTGCTCCTATTTCTAATTTAAATTAACACCATCATATTTCATTTTCATGATAAGCATTTCTCTAAGAATATAAATAAGAGAGATATTTCTATAATTGTGGTTATTATGGGGTATATAAAGTGTCCACATAAATATATGAATGTATTACATCAAATCGATCTACTTTTCATGATCAACCATATGAGTAAGATTCTAAGATGGCACTTTATAAGTAAAATATTTTTACCAACTACCAAATTTAAAATTCAAAATTCAAAAATGTTGTGAAAATGACATTGCAAATATCACAAACATTTCATTCATTAATAGAAGACTTATTTTAAACATCATAGTATTATACAAGTGGATCTCATTTGTTACTCATTTAGGATTCGTTTGGGACTGTTTTTCTAATGCTTCTTAAAGCAGTTTTTAAATATTAAAATTTTAATTTTTTATTAAAAAGTTGCTTTATGAAGCAGTAAGAAAGTTGTCCAAAACGAAGCCTTAGTAAGTTGAATTCAATCTAAATAATAAAGCACAATTCTTACATCAATAGCGGAAAATTCATAATCAAACTACTAATTTTCTTACCCTAAACATACAAACATAACATCAATAAATGATCATATGGCTACTTGTAGGCAATAACAAACAAACTAAAGGTGCTTAAAGCTATAAACAATGAGCCTCTGAACATTCTCTTCAGAAAATATTTCGTAGAATGATCTATACAAAATGGCTTGTAAGAGATTCTATTGGATGAAATTTGTTAATAAATTGAATTTTACAGTTCAAATGTTATAATTCACAGTCTTTAATGCCCCTCCTGGTTTTATAATCATAAAAAAATATGCTGTTCAACAAACTTTTAGCATAATATTCATATTTTTGGGTTTCATAAGTAGCTTTTTGATAAAGGCAAGAACCTTAGGGACATAAGCTATCCATGCAACTTAGGGGTGTTAATTTCGGGTTGTAGGTTGGGTTCGGGTCGAATCCGGAAATGACCTGACCCTATTTAGGTTGACTCAGCCCATTTTTGCAAATGGGTCGGTTTGTTCAATATAGACCCAACTTGTCGGATTTCCGGGTTGACCCGACTTGACACAAATTTACAGTATTTGGCTGAAGAAACACGTTAAATTGAGGAAGATAGCGAGCTCCCATCGCTACTTCAAGTTCCAGCAAACTATCTCGAACTCCTATTCGACAAGAAGGAACGTCGTCGAAGGAGGAGAACTGTTTCGACCTCCAATTCGTGAGGAAGATAGCGATTAGCGAGCTCCCATCGCTACTAGCCTACTTCCAGTTCCGGCAGCACTGTAGCAGCGACGACTTGACTCAAACGATATGACACGATGGCAACTCGACGTGCATAAGAAATTCGAAGAGGTGACACCGGCGACTGAACACGTCGAGCAACAAACACGGGCAAACTGATTTTCCGGGTCATTTATGACTTTTCGGGTCAACCCGAACCTGACCCGATTTTTGAAACGGGTCTGTTTGTTGAACCAAAATCAAACCCATTTCAAAAACAGGTTGACCCTAACCCATAATTTTTGGGTCAGGTCGAGTCAGATTTTTGGGCAATGTCAAATATTGACACCCCTAATACAATTAATGCAAGTGAATGAATGGTCGGCTCCTGCGTTAGGTGAATTCCCAATGGACAAAAGTTTAAATAATAGAAAAAAAAGAGTAAAACAATAAAAGTGGTAGCCAGGGTTGAAATTTTAGCTAGAAAACCTAAGATTGCTCAAAAAGTGAATTGCTTTTTAGTTTAGATCAAGCTTAGATTATTTTTTTCTGGGTGTTTAATATATGCATATATGTAAATTATTATTATATTATTAAATATTTTTAAAATAAAAAGAGGGAAACAATTAGTAAAGAACTACTCGAAATCGGGCTGATTTGAGTGATCTGAGTTAAGCTAGTTCAAAATAGAATGGCTTCTATAGATGTTCGTGCCGATTACGAGCCGCCAATGAATCGACTTGAATCAGATATTTATCAACTCTAATACTATTAGTCCCCTTTAAGCTTGGTCAATCAATGTATATCCCAAGCAGATAGGTTGAGTTTCAACTCTCATCACCCTCTTTTTGAACATAAGAATTTCAGGACAAACGGGTACAGAAAAACAAACGGTATCATGTAGAAAGATGCCCGTAAAATAGGATATAAAGTAGAACAGTAAAGCACATAATGGAATGGGGATTAAGGAAGTTTTTACCTTGCACAC